CCTGTGCTTTGCATAAAAACATTAATACTGATACCAGGATTGTGTAGTGTCATTTTCTGTTACCCATCTTATTGTTTCACAAGTTTTATGATTGTGTATTGTAGGAAATATTAGTTGATTGAAAATATGAATGCATATTTGAATTTTGAAATGGCAGATATGCCTTTTACATACGGTCGTGCTAACGGTAATTCATTGGAAGCGCAAAGACTTTATGCTAAACAGTACCCACAGCGTAGACTACCCCATCATACTACGTTCACAACTATTCACCGACGCTTGCGGGAACGTGGTAATTTTGAAAAAAGAAGTTATGATTCTGGTCGTACTAGAGAAGTTAGAACTGCAGCTGTAGAAGAAGCCGTATTAATTCAATTGAAGAATTCCCAGAAACTAGTATCAGGAGAATAGCTCGTGTCCTACATGTAAGCCATTCCGTTGTTTTTAGAATTTTAAAAGAACAAATGTTGTATCCCTGTCATCTTCAACGGGTGCAGGCGTTAATGATTCGAGATTTTTTACCCTGTGTGATTTTTTGTCAGTGGCTTATTAATATGATTGGCCAAGCACCACAGTTCTTAGGTAATATTTTATTTACTGACGAGGCGAGTTTCTCAAGAGACTGTATTAGAAATTTTCCCAGCAATCACCTTTGGGCTGACGAAAATCCTCATGGCTTTTTTGAAGGAAATCATCAGTATCAATTTTCATTAAACGTGTAGCTCGGAATTATTGATAATCATTTAATTGGTCCCCATTTTCTTCCGCTACGATTAAATGGTGAAGCATATTGTCATCTCCTTGAAGAATTACCTGTTCTTCTTGAAGAGGTTCCCATTCAAATTAGGCAACATTTATGGTTTATGCACGATGGTGCACCAGCTCATTTTAGTATACGTGCAAGAACTCACCTGGATGAGGTGTATGCCAATCAATGGATAGGTCGAGGAGTACCTGTAAACTGGCCAGCCCGCTCCCCTGACTTTAATCCTTTGGATTTTTGCATATGGGGATATCTGAAATCTTTGATATACACAAACCCAGTTGAATATATCGATGATCTGCGAAACCGCATTGTAGCAGGGTGTGAAACTATAAGAAATTCTCCAGGAATGTTTCATCGTGGGTAGATGCTTGTATTGAAGCTGAAGGCGGTCATTTTCAACGTTTATTATAATTGTATTGTCGATATTCGACAGGTTTTTGTTCATTGTTTGTTCACTTTTGTTTTTAGTTGTAGAAGTCTTAAGAATCATAATTTGGTTGGCTGTTGTTTAATAAGATGCTATTTTACATGATCTTATTTATTATTTTCTCATAAATGCTTAAGTTTTCGAAAAAAACTTGTAGAGATAAAAAAGTTTCATCTAAAAAAAAGTTGTAAGAAAAAATATCTTAGGGGTTGATTATTTCAACTACTCTTTACGAGTAGTGAAAGTTTAGAAAGTTTTATCAAGGGGCTGGTAACTTAAATGGAAAAACATGAGGACGGTAATTTAGTACCACTCCAATTAACGGGATGGCGCTCGTATCGAAATGTCATGTCAGTTGTCAGCTTGTCAACAAAACTTCATACTTGGAAAAATTAAAATGGCTGTCGCATTTGAAGGTGTATTGAATTTTGGTTCATCTAGATTTATTTTTCAACACCTTCCAATTTTAAGAATGTTTTCAAGAGATGGGAACATGGATTTCAGCAACGAACAATGAAGCACTCCCAGATATTGGTAGTGATGCAATTTATACCACGTATTAAATATGCGGTCGTCATATTAAGGATAAACATACAATTTGTAATAAGTGTCTTAAGAAAAATGCATCTTGTACTGGCATATCAATGGTAAGTAATATTTACAAACTTGTTTTTGATTCAGTGTTAAAATAATTGGTTTGTTATTTAAATTTCTTTTTGTTTTCAGTTTTTAAATGATCATTGTTATAAAGAAAATGTTGGCCCTTCAAAATACCCTGTAGATCGATGAAATATTTGAGCCTTAGCCATCAATATCAAAATTTGATTCAATGCCATTGACATCACACAAGAAAACACCCCAAAATCTTCAAAGGTCCAAACGTGTGTAAGTTTAATTTAAGCTCGAAAGTTAAATTTATTTATCACAGTGCTCAGATGATGAATAAGAATTTGATAACTACAGGTGCTGTACAAATAAATCAATAAAACAATATCGGATGAAGAAATGTTCCTCAACTTAACTAGTCGACTCAATAAGCATATGGCAAATTTTATCCACCCTCAAATTCGCCTTTATTGTAAGACTCCAAAAGGATGATGCTTCAGTTTTTTCAAACTTATTGCCACTCCAAGTTGCAAAACTGTTATATTGGTCTTGAGCACTTAAATATGTCGAGTTTGTTACAGAAAACCTATTTCCATGTTTAAATAGACAAATTATATGATGCGGCGTTAATTTACTGTAATAAAAAAATAAATTAAATAAATTGCATTTAATTTCAAGTTTGAAATTAATGCAAAAATATAATGAAGAAAATCAAACAAAAAAAATAAATTGGCAAAATATTTGACTAGTTTCAAATCACAAAACAGTCAATATGGTTGTTTTATGATTTGAAACTAGTCAAATATTTTGCCAATTTATTTTTTTTGTTTGATTTTCTTCATTATATTTTTGCGCGCCTAGCAGAAAGTTAAATTTCAAAAAGCCCGCGCTAAGCAGCCATATTGAATTTTAGTACCACTCCAATTTGATAGATGGCAGCACATCGACTCAGAATATTACCATTGAGTTTCCCATCTATTCACATTAGTAATCTATGGTTATATCTCTAACAGAGACCATTACGACGTTGCAACACGTGGTCATCTACCGCAGAAACCAGTTCGACGTGCCTTGCTGTTTCACCGGTGTTTTCTTATAAATTTAGGCAATTTTTAATCGCGAATATTTCGAGTTACGTTAAAAAAAAATAGGTAGGTGTTTATTTACTTGTTGACTTGATAGTTACTTGTATTCCATTTCGCTATTGGACTTAAAAAATTAAATTCCAATGTGACTACATGACCTTAAAATTGCAAAACGAGTCAAGCGGAAATATGGCCCAGATAGCGGGCCATAATTTCGCCTTGGGTCATATTTTCGTCCTATCCTTAATATGTTTTTTTAGGTCGTGAGCAAGGCAAATAAGGGTATTCGCACCAAATGGAATGAAGAGATGATGAGTGAAGCTCTAGACCTGCTAAAGAAAGGTGTGTTACAGAGAGAAGTTGAAAGAAAATGTGGAATACCCCGAACCACTCTTCGAAATCATTTAAAGAGTGGAAGTGCGAAAAGACGATTGGGCAGAAGAAGCATACTGACGAAGGAAGAAGAACGGGAACTTGTCGGTCGGATTGTAAGACTAGCAGAGATCGGCGTACCTCTGCTAGTACCAAAATCCTTAAGAAGAATTCTTTTTCGGTATTGTATTAATAACAATATACCCCATACATTCAACACTGAGAAAGAAATGGCAGGATATGATTGGTACAAATCATTTTTAAGATGAAATAAAACCCTCTCACAGAGAAAGTCTCAAAATTTAAATCCATCCCGAGCGCAAAAATTAAACCCAGTCATTGCTAGAGATCACTTTACTAAACTAGATAATATTTTAACTGAATTAGACATCAAGGATTCCCCAGAACGAATCTTCAATATTGACGAAAAGGGATGTCAATTGACTTTACATCACAATCAATCGGTGTTAGATAAAAAGGGATCTTGCTGGTGGATCAGACAATAACAAAGTGAAATAGAAAATGGTTGTTATAAATACTCCCGAGTGAGATGCCCATAGAGTCGCATTTCAAGCCTATTGACAAGCATTCTACCCCACTCCAGTTCATTGTATCGAATGAACCTTTTCCTTAAGTAAAAATAAGATAAATAAAATTAAGGGTACCAAAAAAAATATAGGTAACCATTAAAAAGACATTAAGTTTGAGAGGTTTAACTAAATATTTGCAATGTGTATGTATTTTCAAGGCTTTTAGGTTTAAAAAGTACTTACATATTTTTGGAATTTCTAGATTTATATTATATTAAAACGACTTTTAAGTTTATTACTCGTTTCTGTAGAAACAAGTATTTTCTCGCAAAGATAAGCCAGATGTCATTTAAGGTTTATGTATTTAGAGTTAAATACCTGGCCTAGCTATCATCCAGACAATACAAATATGTCCATTGGACGTCCATTCGATATACAATTTTGGATGTCTAGACGTCCAAAAATGAGTTTTTTCTGGACTTCCGACATCCAATGGACGTCCAGTGAAGCATATAAATGGCACACTTTTGACCATTCAGAGGACGTCCAATTCTGGACGTCGAATACTGGACATTCAAAAAACGTCCAGGATTATATTTCCATTGAGACCACATCCCCACTTTTTTTACAGAACCGCAACTCACCACACTATTTTATATTATTAATAATTTGTTTATTATTTTCGCAAACCGCTATACACCATTTATTATTTTTTTTTTTTTTTTTTTTTAATAAAAGATCGCTTGACCTGAGCAGACATCGAACTCACTACACATCCATTATCGTTTTACGCTTTCAATCGCTAGACGAGCTAGACGCCTTTAAAACATCTTTTGGATATTAGCGTAGATATTCAAAACGTCACGAACGTCGTGATCAAACGTATTTAAGATGTCTTTAAAACGTGTTTGTGCTATCTGGGTAGTGTCATTCTTTATTAGGTAAAAATAAATCTTTTTGTAATACATGTAGATCGTTATGTTTTATTTTGTGGAATTAAAAAAAAACACTCATTTTGTTATGTAAACGATTTCATTTAGTTTATTTCAATATATTTTTTTCTTGTGTCTTATTTATTGTTACTTATTTATTTTAAATTTTACGCTTTGAACTTGTTTTATACATAAAAAGATCAATGAAGTACTAATAACATAAACACAAGTTCGTTTTTTTATTTCTAACATGTTACGCCTTTGGTCAAATATCGTTGGTGTCAAAATGGCACAAGATTTTCAGCGACGTTAAAAACTTATACCACTTAAACCATTAACATGTAGTGTAAAAATGTTGACATCTTAAACGTCATTTTTTCAAAAATCTATATTTCATGTAGATACTATAAATTGTGTTAATTGTATTTATATTACAAACATTTTTACGTCAAAATGTAAAAATGTCGCATCTACACAGGAGAACCTCCGCATTCCACAATGAAAACAAATTACCCTATCGAGTTAGATCAGAGGGAAGAATGAAAACTTACGATTCTTCAACAGATGCTAGGGCTTGGTCAAATGTTGTAGAGGAGAGAAGACAACACATTGTGGAATATCTAAGTGGAGATAAAATTGTAAGTTAAATGACACTAGTTAAATTATTTTTTTTGATACGTTCCTTAACGAAGACCAAAAGAAAGTTACGGGATATTTCAGAATAAAGTACCGTAACTGAAGGACCGTAACTGAAGGACTTGTAGATTTTAACTTATTAAGAAATGCTAAATTTAATTTTCCTGTAAACGCCCCAGTTTTCATTCATAAATACATAATTTTTTAAATATATTACGGTAAAGACTTTAACTTAAAGATATGTATGTGTTATTTAATAATTCTATGGTCGGCGCTTAAAAGGTAATAAGTCGATATTACACATTTTTGGAGAATGGCGCTGGAAAATTTTGAGTCACGTCAATAAGGATTTTTAGAATCCAAATCGACGATCTTTTTAGAATATTTGGTCCTGTAAAAATTTCGATAAATTACGATAACCCATTGGCGTAGAATCAAGGGTTAAGAAAACAATTTTAATCCAAACTTTTTGAACACTCTATATTTCATAAAAATTAATTTTAATAATTATTCCTCAGGCAATTTGTCACAAAAAAAGCCTCTTAGTTGATCTCTGTAGAACATTCCATTTCCGAAATTTTTAAGGTTTTGTTCTACTCAAACATAAAATCTATGTACAATTTTCTCAAAGGCCGGTTTCATAATAAATATTAATTGGACCAATATCTTATGAATTTAATAGTCCCTTTAGGTGATGGACCCTTTAATATTAATTATAAAACGGCAATAATAAAAATTTGCATTTTTGGAATTTCATAATGTACATAGATTTCATGTTTGACTAGGACTAAAACTGAAATGTCTTGGAAATGGAATGTTTTACGGATATTAACCAGGAGTCCCTTTTTTGTGATAAATTTCGTGAGGCATAATTAAAAATCTTTTGTGAAATATAGGGTGTTCAAAAATGTAGGATTACATTTTTTTCTTAGCCCTTGATTTTACGCCAATGGGTTATCGTAACCCCAGTATATATACCAATCAGTATTGGCACTCTGAGGCGGCACGTTTGATCTTTAAAAGTAGAAATTTTAGTTGACACTTGACGTTTTCGGGATATGAAAAGTTTTCTTTACACGGACTTGGTATACCTGGTTAGTTGAATTTTTGTTCTGCTGCTTTTCAAATTCGTGTGTATGAGGGAGATGTGAGATACCTTAATAGACAACGGTTGAACAACTTAATTACTTTGAAGAAGAAAATAGATTAGATATCAGGGCAGTCTTCGCAAATGTAAGAAGGACAGAACCGTTTTAAATTTTTTTATATATGTGAAATATTACTTTTTGGTGAAAAGTTTAATTACTTTTAGTTCAAAATATAACGTTAGTTTGTCAAGGGAAATATATAACACACAAGGTTAGAGTAACAAAATAGAGGTATTGCTTTATTTCTTAAGAATTACTCTAATCTAAAACTTTTCTAGTATATTGTAAAAATTTATTCTATACGTTATTTAGGTACTGCAAAATCTATAGAAAAGTATGTAGTTTTAAATTTAAAAATTTGTAACGGAGACATATTTAGTGTAGTTTTTTACAAATATGTACTCAGTGACTTGTTTTTGTGAATGAGTTCAAGTATGGCAGACTAAAATCGTTATTTTTTATTATGAATTAATTTGAATTTATTTTAAAATGGGAACTATATGTATATGGTTTTCGTAGTTTTTACACTTGTTATAAAAATATCAAAGTTATGTATATTGGCCATTTACTACACACAGCAAATTCATAGACACAATACATATTACTATTTGACATTCTTGTAAAACCACTAATTTAAAATTGACTTTAAACTAAGTGACTACACACAGAATTGTTTGAAAGCAGCCATAAGGTATAATTTATGTATTGGATACTATAAAAAAATTAATAGTAGTTACATGTAGAGTTAAGTAACAAGAAATTTAAGACCAAAAACAAAACAAACCTTTATATCTAGTGAACTTAATTTAGTACAGTCCTCAACTTTCTTAGGCTAACATTAAAGATATCTATTTGGATCTCGCTAAGAAACTCATTGGTAACAGCCATCATCTTGTTAAAAAGAGATATACTACTTGGATCTAAATCAAATAATTTATTGTTACTTGGGTTTCTTAGATTAATCTTTGCCGCATTAACATTTATATAGTCAATCAATTCACAATCTTTGTACTTAAAATAGAGTACAAAATATATCACAGCCTGTTGCTTTCTTCTTTGTAAAAGAGATTTAATCTTAAAACTATTGAGCATAGTTTTATACGAGATCTTAGGTATAAGGGTACAAGTATTCTTTATGACATAAAGGTACCGTAAAAATATTTTTTGTACTTTTTCAATATGATCAATTTGTGTGGCTTCCAAGGGCATCCATATTTGTGAAACATACTCAAGATGGAGTCTTACTAAGGCATTATATAATCTGATTTTGGTGGTAATCCTAAATTTTTTTGTATTTCTGATTTAAAAACCTAATGCTTTTATTGCTTTTTTTAGTTATGTGTAAAAAATGGTTATTGAACTTCAAATTAGACTGAAAGACAACTCCCAAATCCTTTACCTCATATTAACGATTTAATGTGACATCACAGGTCTTATTTCTAATGTAAAACATTAAGAGGCTATGGATCCTTACAACTTAAAATATGCATACGTTTGTAAGTGTTAAATAGACGGATAAAAAGTGTTGATTTTTATTTACAACTATAATAAGAACCCATTAAAAAGATTAAGAGCAATAGAACATTTCAACAAATTTCTATAGGTACACATATTTTTGATACCTGATAATCAATAAATATATTTTTTGGAGTAACAACAGGTTTATTAATACACAATTATTATTTTGTTACAAATAATTATAATATTTATAATTAACATAATAGTTGATATAAGTCCCTTAAAAATAATATATTTTGATTTAATTGTTGAATTTATACATGAGCAATTTTCCTTGTAGCGTTGTTTACATTTTGCAGAGAAATATTGTATTCTGCTTTTAGCTGATAAATCATGTACATGTAAATGGGTTGAATGTAGACAATGTTAATGTTTTTGCTACTACTGCTGGCTAGAAATGCTGGGCTAAGACACCAACAGAAAAAAAGGAAGCACAAAGCACTAGATGTTTTTATCACTTATACACGTACAATTTGAAACCATTCAAGTAACTAGCATGTTGGAAATACTTCACGAAAACATATTAAACATAAATCAGTCGAAGGCAATGTATTTTCTTTTTATAACACACCTTTTTAGCTTGATTACTTTTAGTACTCTATTTATTCCAATGTCCTCAAATAAAACGAGCAATAATAAGGATAAAACACACACTGAAGTGTATTTGGGGTATTTTTGATCTAAATGCACTATCAAAATAACAAATTTTCCGTTTTTAAGCTGTGAATGTATTACAAAAACTACTTCGATAAAATGTAAACAAAAGTTTATATTTGTGTACGAAATATGGGTTGCCTGCGCATGGTAGCGAGTTTTTAACCGGATTTATGACAAGTGATAGGTTATATCCCGAAAACGTCAGCGCAGTAAAAGCTGCGCGTCTTTTTCCCGCCCAGGGAGTGTCATGGGCCTGTCGTAACTAACATATTCATATTTTTAAGTTAAATTCTTTAACGTAAGGAAGATATTTAGAAAATTATGTATTTATGAAATTCACTTTATCACCCTGTAGAATTAAAACTGGGACTTTTACAGTAAAATTATATTTAGCTTTTTTTAATAATTAGTTAAGATCTACAAGTCCCCCAGTTTTCGGTACTTGATTTTAAAACACTCATATTTAAAAAAATTGGAACATCAAAAGTGATCTAAAAGCCACTTAACGCATTAAATGTTTAAAATATTCTCCCATAGCTTCTTTATTTTAGTAAATATTGCGTTTCTTCAATTTGTAAAAAGAGTTTCCTTAGTAGTAAACAATAACAGTGAATAGGAGAGTTACCAAGAATGTAACGTTCTTCATTAATTTATTTAATGTAATTTCTGTAAAAACAAAAACACTAAGACTGTTTGCATTTACTTAAAGACAATAAACATCCTTTAATTGAGTTGTCACATGACTCTACTTTCCATTAGAAGAAAAAGAGTTAATTTAATAAGTCTTCAATCCTAGAATTGAACCCGGGACCTCTGCATGACAGCCAAATGCCTTAGTTTCTGTTTAGTCTCTGATTGGTGGATTTGATTTTTTTGTATTGTTCTTACTAGGTAGAATGAATATGAAATATATTCGTTCAGTTGAGCGCAATACCATACTTTTTCGTTTTGTAATCTGTGCGTAGAATAGAAACTATGTGGGTATACAAAAAATATTTATATGTTTTCAGAATTCAAGTATTGGGCAATTTGTACCTGCATGTTGCTTGATAGAAGGCATATTAGCATCAAAAAATGAAAGACTTAAGTGTTTAAAGAAGAAAACGGAATATATGGAAAAAATTGTTCAGTTATATTCGCGACTCAATTTGACGCCAGAACAAGAAGAGGAACTACTAAAAATTGTAATATTTATATAACTTTTTATAAGCTTGAATGAATAAGATTTGCAGAGAAATAGTAATAGCAGGGGAAGCTGTTGTACCTCTAAACATATTTTAGGTTTTCATTTTTAAAAATTCAAATTTGTAACTTAATTTTAATTCCAGAGTGTAGGTAGCATATTTTTTTAAGTCTTGCTTTACTTTTATACACTTCGCTTTTAAATTAAAGTCTACACATTTTTTATTAAAAAATTTAAATTTGTTTCAAGGTACACGAACGTTCATGTACCTTGAAACACTTAGTGTTGTATCTCAAAACATTGTGAAAAAATTTAATAATAGTCAAAAAAACTTAAATATTTTATTAAATTTCAATTAAAACATACAACATTCCCATAATATTATTTGGTGTTGAACTTATAAAATGGAAAATTAAAGGTCTTGACATTTTTTGTTCTTGCAGTGCCAATTGTATTTATGCAAGATAACTTTACCACTATGTCTCTAATGTCAATAGATGCTACATCTGGTACAGATGGATAATTAAATGTCTGAGGGAATCTCTTTCGTAAGAAACTCACGGAAAATTCCGTTGTAGAAAGGCATTCTTGTGTACAACCCACATAATGAACAACTTCAGTTTTTCCTTTAAAAGAGACGAGCACAAAATCTCCAACTGCCACGTCGTCTGTTATTAGCGGTTCTAGATCCATGTCACTATCGCCTTCATTATCTGAAGAGGCTGATAAAATATCATTAAGCGTCTTTCCTTCAACATCACTTTCCTCCTCATAGATAACTGCCTCGTCACTGCTATTGCTGTTCGAGCGTCTCTTAAACAACTTTTTAGTTACCTGCTTCCTTTTTTGTTCAAACAACTTTTTATTTTTCTTTTTTTCCTTTTCTTCTTTTACTTACTTTTTTATTAGAAGTTCCTCTCTTTCTGGGGTATCGGTTAATATTTTAGTGGTTCCACAGGCTCTCTTTCTATTCCGTTGGGTTGTTGCTTTTGAAAACGGCCTAAATTCTTGTGGAGATATGAACGTCACAAGGTCTGACTGCTCGGGTGATTTAAATGCATCTCGACTTGATGAAGGCCCCGCGCGATCGCTATGTTTTCGGCAGCTGTTACAACATTATGTAATTCTGATGAAGATCCTGCAACAGCTGTGTTTTCAGTATCTAGCATTGGTCTATCCGTTACCGAAGAAGGCAAGAACAGATCTTCATTAAAAATTCCTATATTTAGAGGATAGATCCCAGTATTTTTAAATCCGCTACAAATGTTAGTTTTTGAGGAAGCTCGAGGAAAAGCAGATCCTACTATTTCAGCAACATTATAAATTGAGAATGTCTTTCTGTTATTGTTAATATGCCATGCATCCAAACCTTGGTTGTAGGAAGTTTTAAACGGACCAAAAACGCTAACATCTAGTGGCTGTAAGCGATGGCTGGTATGGGGAGGTAAAGTAACTATCTTGATACCATTTTTTGAAGCCATATCGATCGCATCATATAAACAGTGTGTTTCATGATTGTCCATGATTAGAAGCACTGGTTCATCTTTAGAGGGCTTTACATGATTAGTGAAATGTCCCATAAATTTTAGAAATTTTGCATCATTTGACCAACCCGTAGGTGTAGTTGACATTGCTCCAGTTATGGCGAGACACGCAAGCCGCTGTATTTCACCTAGATTTGCTCTGGCCGTCCGTTGGAGCCCCTTTTCCCACCAGACGACAGAGCCGTACGTAACCATGGATTTTACCACTGTTTGGTAGATCCAATAAATCAGTTGAGGACTGATCCCCCATGCTTTGCCGCATATCCATCTGAGTGTCCAGAGGGATAATCTAGCTTCGTTAATTGGTTTTATCCAATTGGGGGTTCCAGGTGAGTTTCTTATCTAGGGTGATTCCCAGATATTTCACCTCCTCCGCAAAAGGAATGGTTTCCTCAGCCAAGGTAGGTTGTCGAAGCTTGTCGAGCTTCCTTCTCTTGGTGAAGGGGATAATAACAGTTTTGCGGGGGTTAACAGACATCTGCTCCCTCTTGCACCATCTGTTGATCATATTAAGGGCTTGTTGAAGGATGTTGGAGATCACCTCTTCGAACTTTCCCCTAATTATGATAACCAGATCGTCCGCATAGCATTGGAACTCTACCCCCTGTCGGGAGAGATCGTCTAGCAGGTTATCCACCAGAATAGTCCACAGTAGGGGTGAAAGTACGCCGCCTTGTGGACATCCTCTGGCAGGCCTGAACGTGACAGTCTTTCCTTGCAGTGATGAAGTGATGTTCCGGTTTGCCAGCATGCTTTTGATCCAGTTACAAGTTAGTTTGTCGATTCCTCTTCTTTCAATAGAAGAGAACAAAGACTGAGGAAGGGCGTTGTTGAACGCGCCTTCTATATCTAGGAAGGCACCTAGCGCAATCTCCCCATGATTTAGGGAATGGCCGATTTTGCCTACTAGATTGTACAGGGCATGATCTGTCGATTTGCCTGCTTGGTAGGCATATTTAGAGGAGTTTAACGGGTTTGCCCGAAGACCTCCTTCTCTAATATGCCTATCTAGAATCCTCTCTAGTGTTTTTAGAAGAAAGGATGTTAGGCAGATTGGACGATAAGAGTTTGGTAGGGAGGTATCTACTCTACCAGCCTTGTGTATATACACGACTTTCGCCAACGTCCATCCTAGTGGGATATAGCTCCACGTCAGGCTTGCTCTAAACAACCTTACAAGGAGGGGTAGCAGGAGTTCCTGTCCTTTTTGTAAAAGGGCGGGAAAAATTCCATCCTCTCCGGGTGATTTGAAGGGGGAGAATGAATTCATCGCCCATTTCACGGCGTTTGGAGAGACAATTTTTGCAACAAAGTTGCAGTCCTCCTTTTTGGGTCGTATAATCGATTCCGTTAAAGGAATTGGTACATGTTGCCTGTCCTCCAGGATTCGACTGCCTGGGAAGTGTTTTTGTAAACTATTACGGTGTGCTCGAAGATGTGATAGTGTAGCAACTGACACTTTATAGACCTCAGCAGCTTCTCTCAAAGAAATGTTTTCTTTTTGATCCCGAGTGACTGCTAATATAGCTTGCTTAAGGTTTTCGGTGTTAACTGGTGGTCGTTTTACTCCTGCTTTACTTCTTGGCATTATCAAACCTAAAACAACGTATTGAGTTAGCAATGAAGATTATTCTTAATCCTAAATTACTTGGTTATTGAATTATATAGTGTTTTAAGGTACACGATGGATGGTGTTTCAAATTACAAGAGATGACTCCATTTTATAAATTGTTTTCATATTTTCTCCAGAACCATGATAATAAATTGTAAACCTACTGAATATACCAAAAAATGGTTGTTATTTTAACTGTAGAAAAATGAAATATTTACCTTGAAGTAGAACTAGAAGTAATATGCCACTATTTCACTTTTAATTTTCGAACGAAAATCGCCTAGTTCACAAAACACTAAGTAAACGCTACGTGTAACAGACAAAACCACACTGATAAGGTAGGTACGATACATGGTGCACTTCTCTGAGAAACATGACCACTAGAGAGCGACAACTACTTTTACAGTTTGAAGTGTTTCAAGGTACACTGTTATCAAGGTACAACAGTTTCCCCTATCTAGTAATCGACTACGGTGGTGTAGGTGTCTACGTCGCGGCATTCATTTGTCAGCCAATTTTCTGGTAAACGAGACACGGTTTCAGATCCTACGGAAGACCATGTGAATTTATTTGCATGGTTCTCTATAGGATTTGATGGATGCCATATTAGCAGAAATTTAATTTATGTTGATATGACATCCAGATTATTAAAATAAAATCGCCATGCATTACCGTTTTCGATGATGGTGGGTGGGGTTTTCCGGGTTTTCCTCACCTGTAAGTCAAATGGCACCATCAATCATCTTTAAGTCACCCCGGGGCGCCACGGCAAATAATACTAATATCCGTCCCTTTCCTCGCACAAGCTCAGCTTTTGGGGTTAAAATTCACTCGTAAGGGGGTGAATTAGGGAGAGTATTATTATTATTATTATTATTATTATTATTAATGGACTATAACAACCAAATTTTTTGAATTTTAAACTTTACAACTTTAGCAAAATGTCCCGTGACCTGTACCAACAAATCCAAAGAATTTAAATTTTATTGTCAACATTAATGTCACCTTTATTCTCCTATTAATCCTATCTATGTGTGTATTGTAGGAAGAGTGAAATAGAAAAATAATTAGGTATCTGTTCTTTATTTTAACAATTATAGACTATGAATGAAGTGGTGCTGCAACAAAATAAAAATGGTAGTGTCGATTAAAATTGCATTTAGGCGCTACGTATTTGCAAGCGTGTGATCCGTTTTAAAGCCAGGTGACATACGGACTAAAACAGTCACTAATAAACGTTAAAATTAAAAGGCCGGTTTGTTTAGGTGTTTCTGAAAAGTCGCACACTGGGGCAACAAGCCCTCAAACTTGGCAATAAATAAAAAAATTAAATAGGATATACACTCTACCTCATATTTTGTTCTTATATATTACTGTCCACTACATAATAAAACGAACAAGTGCGATCTTCTGTCTCACGCGTTTCATCGCCACCTTCAGTCAAAGTTACTTATCTGAGGCGAGTATAATATATTCATTATTTTTGTAGTTTTTAACTTGTTTTTGTACTGTGATTAGACTGTATTTTGATTTTTTTTTCAAATTTTCGCCATGTAGCCTTTAAGTTCAGCTATGTATTATTTTAATAAGTAAAAAGTTGTAGAAAAATAAACGTAATCTTATAATATTGGGGTTAAGTAAAATGAAGGTTAAACGTTAAAATTTTAAAATATTCTTAAATACATGAAGGCTATTTGTTGTGTTCCAAAGCAGTACAAGTTTTAAATTTCGACTTTTCATAATGAATATTGTTTTTTCAAAGTATATAAATATATGGCGGGACGATCATCAAAAACGAATTCTGTTTTTTTAATATATTTCGTTTGTTAATAAATCGATTTTATT